AGTGAACTATTATCAATTTTTTTTAATTATATATTTTTATATTATAAATGTAAGTCTAAAAATATTATTATCATAATAAATATGTATTACTCTCGTTCTTTCTTTTTAATTATTGAATATAATTGTTATGTACAAATAATAATAATAATAAAAATAAGGATAGTAGGATTTTAAAGGAAGTTAGACACGAAGTCGGGTGGAAAAGGAGAAAAAATTTGCGCTCAGGTCGGTTGGTCAGGTCGGTTGGTCCGCTCGGTTGGTTCGCAGATCGGAAGGTCCGCAGGTCGGAGAGTCTGCGAGTCGGACGGTCTACAGGTCGGACGGTCCGCAGGTCGGAAGGTCCGCAGGTCGGAGAGTCTGCGAGTCGGACGGTCCGCAGGTCGGAAGGTCCGCAGGTCGGATAGTCAGCGAGTCGGACGGTCTACAGGTCGGACGGTCCACAGGTTGGAAGGTCCGCAGGTCGGATAGTCAGCAGGTCGGATCAATAAGTCGGATGGTTTGCAGTCGGTTGGTTCGCAATCGGTTGGTCCGCCATCGGTTGAGTCGGTCACTACGGAATTTGGACCAAGCGAAGTTCTGTTAATTAGTCGCTTAATTGAGTGAACAGTAGTTCAGTCGCTTGATGGGGCGACCAAGGAGTCGTTTGGTCTAGCGACGAATTGGTCTAGCGACCAATTGGTCTCTGGAATGGTTGGTCGGACCAGTTGAGTTTTGGAACTGGTGGAAGCGTTTGGTGAGACGGTTAAAGACACGTGTCAATAAAGGAGGATTTAGTGGGCGGTTGCTGTAACCGACCAGGCGACGATTCTGAAACGTCTTTTCAGGGAATATTTAAGGATTTAGATTTTTTTTCTTCAATTATCTTCAATCGACATCAAATTCAAGAGAATTGCTTTTGGGGATCATCACTTTACTTTTCCAGTCTGTATACACCATATAATTGCCGCATTTTTTTTACATTAACATGATGCAGAGTAAACCCCAATATGAGGATGTAGCTGAAAATGCTAAATAGGGAAAGAGGCCAATCAACATTTGTCATCGGTGTGGCTTTGAAGGCCATTGGGCCAATATTTGCAGAATAACCAAACATCTATCTGATCTTTATCAAGCCTCACTGTAGAAAAAAGGGAAGAAGGTCGAGACTAATCACGTTGATAACGGTGACGACCCCGATGAGGATCTTCTAGATTACGTCACAATGCATCTTGATATAGCGGATTTTGTCGTAGATCCAAAAAACCCCTAATGACAGACATATTATGTCATTTTATATTTTGTTACTTTATATTTTGTAATCTTCAAATTATCGTTTATACCTTTTTGTATTGCATTTTGTAATATTTATGTTTGCTTTTATTAATACTACATTTATTTATATTTGAAGGTTAAATAGATGTCAATCAAAATGATGCAAATATGTGTTTCATTGATAGTATAATGACACATACTATATTGAAACATAAAAAATATTTCTCCGATTTGAAAAGTGAAAAGATGAATGTCAATACAATAAGTGGCAGTGCGAAATTAATTGAAGGCTTTAGAGAAGCCATTATATTTATCCCCGCGGAGATGAAAATTGTGATACAATATGCACTATTGGCCACTAAAGCTCGAAGAAATTTACTGAGCTTTCATGACATTCAGAAAAAATGGTTATCACATTAAAATTATGAGTGATACCGATGGTGAATTTTATTGATCACCAATATCATTGATAAAAAAAAATGCATCATTGAGAGATTACCCTCACTTTCTACTGGTTTATATCATGCCAGATTAGGTGTTGTTGAAACACATCTCACGGTAGATCAAAAGACTACCGATTTTCAAATATGGCACGATCCCCTTGGGCATCCTGGTAGTATAATAATGAGGCGATAATTGAAAATTCGCATTGGTCATTCACTAAAAGGTCAAAAAGTTTGAAACTCAAATGAGTTAACACGTGTTGCCTGCAGTCATGGAAAATTGATAATCAGGCTATCGCCAACTCAAGTAGGTATTGAGTCACCTACATTTTTGGAAAGAATACGTGGAGATATATGTGGACTAATAGACCCACCTTGTGGGCCATTCAAATATTTTATGGGTGCTTATTGATGCATCTACCAGATGGTCACATGTCTGTTTATTATCTACTCGTAATATGACATTTGCGAGAGTGTTTGCCCAAATTATTAAATTACGGGCACAATTCTCCGATAATCCAATTAAGACTACGTCTGGATAATGATGGTGAATATTCATCGAATGCATTTGACGATTATTGCATGTCAATTGAAATTAATGTAGAGCACCCAGTTGCTCATGTTCATACACAAAATGACATGACTAATCATTTATTAAAAGATTGCAATTGATTTATAGATCATTACTGATGAGGTCTATGTTGCCTATTTCAGCTTGGGGGCATGCAATCTTACATGCAGGAACAATTATAAGAATGAGGCCGACAAGCTATCATAGCTATTCCCCTATGCAATTAATATTTGGTCACGAACAAAATACATCTCATTTACGTATTTTTGGGTGTGCTGTTTATGTTCCTATTCCACCCCCAAACATACAAAAATGGATCATGAACGTAGATTGGACATTTATGTCAGATGAATTGCCATCAATTATAAAATATCTTGAACCTATGATGGGTGATTTATTCACTGTAAAATTTGCAAATTATCATTTTGACGAATCATTTTTTCTGACATTAGGGGGAGACAAAGATGAACCGAAAAGGGATATTAATTGAAAAATTCCATTGAATATTTGTGATCATCGCACAAAGTAGTGTGAACTAGAAGTTCAACGCATTATACATTTTCAAAATATTGCAAATAAGTTACCAGATGCTTTCAATGACTCGAGCAAAGTCACTCAATCATATATTCAAGCTGCTAATGCTCAGGCTAAAATAATTGTCCCTGATAAACAACTTGCAAGTACTAATGAATCAGCGACACGCTTAAAATGTGGTAGACCACTCAGTTCCAAAGACAAACATCCTCGAAAAAAAAGGAGAATGAATGATTATAATCATGAAAATATCAGAAATGACATTGATAAATCTCAATCTAATGAAGAAGTCAACCCTGAAATGATTGCTCAAGAAGAGCACGATCTTGATAAATATGATGAGATTATCGAAAACTCAATCAACTATGTTACTTCAATAAAATATTGGAACCGTAAAAAGACAATTATTAATAATGCCTTCACATACAACTTAGCACTTGATATAATGGAAGAAAATGAGGATCCAGAGCCAAAATCGGTTCATGAATGTTGGTAAAGAAATGACTAGCCAAAATAAAAATATGCGATTCAATAAGAGCTTAACTCATTAAACAAAAGAGAGGTCTTCGGACCAATTGTTCAAATACAAGATGATATAAAACCAGTTAGATACAAATGAGTGTTTGTACGAAAAAAAATAAGCTTAATGAAATTGTGAGATATAAAACCCGTCTTGTAGCTCAGAGATTCTCACAAAGACCCGAAGTAGATTTTGATGAAATATACCTGCAGTTGTTGATGGAATAATACCTTGTGAGCTAAGCAGTGGGAGAAAAGCTCGACATGCGTCTTTTAGACGTAGGTAATGTATATATTATGACTCATTGGATACTGATATTTATATGAAAGTTCCTGAGGTATTCAATATGTTTGAAGAATACAAATTAAACCTAAGGAAATCATATTCCATCAAATTAAAAAAGTCATTGTATGAACTTAAACAATCAGGGCGAATGTGGTATAACCGTCTCACTGAATGTTTAATAAAATATTATACTAATGATCTAATATGCCCATGCGTCTTTATAAAGAAAAATTGATTAAATTTTGTCATTGTTGCAATATATGTTGATGATCTTAATTTAATTAGAATTTCATAAGAGATCCAAATTGCAGTTGAATATCTAAATAAAGAATTTGAGATCAAGGATTTTGGATAGATAAAAATATTGTATAGGATTACAAGTGGATCATGTTAATAATGAGATATTTATTCATCAATCCATATATACCCAAAAGATATTAAAACAATTTTATATGCATTTTGTATATATTAAAGACAGATCAGACAAATCACATATCTCCGAAATTCTTTTACATTCACGATCTTCAGAAGAGTAATAAAATTAATGTACAAAAAATCCGATCGTCTTAAAATTTTGCATATTTATTTACGAAGGCGCTACCGATTGCAACATTCAACAAATTGGTATAAGAAATTGGAATTCATCGACTGAAATATATCTAATAAAGTTCAAAATATGGGGAGCGCATTAATACAGAAATGTTGTACTTTTTTTCATTCATTAGAATTTTTTTCCACTGAATCTTTTTTTTTAAATAAAATTTTAACGAATCACATTCCTTATATAAAAGCATCCAACTAAAAATATTGTACACTACATAATATATATTTATATATATATATGGTGTAACTAATATATGAATGCTGCGTGGTCTTTATTGTATCTTTTATGTGCTTATAAATAGGCATATCTTCATTCAATTAATGCAAGAAACAATCAATTTACTCAGATCTCTCATCCTCCCATCGGCTCTCTCTCTCTCTTATACTTTCTCACACAATTATATATATATATATCTATACTTACCTATATATATTATATTTATTATATAACTCCTTTTTTTAATTAAAAATAATTTTAAAATTTATATGTACATTAAAAAATTATAAAAATTGAAAATTTTTAAAATATAATAATAATAATTATACTGTTCAAGATCAATGATGGGAAGTGCTGTTAAGCTAACATATTCATTGCTGATTGCTGATTGCTGATTGCTGAGGAGTAAGAATTAGAGAAAGTGTGAATTCCAATCCACGTCAGTAGTCGGAAAACCGCCTTGCCTTGCACCTACCTACCTACCTACCTACCGACCTACCTAATTATGGTAAATCAAAGGAGGGGCCGACGTGGTGTGGTGCGGTGCGGTGCGGTGGTGTTGACGCTTAATTCCACATTCATGCCAATCCAGCAACAATCTAATAGCAATAGCAAATTAGCAATACCAATTCCCAAATGTATCCTTACAATTTTTATTACTTATTCCTTTCAGAACATACAACAAGATACATATACATACATACTTACTTACGCCGAGAGAGAGAGAGAGAGAGAGAGAGAGAGAGAGAGAGAGAGAGGCATTCGTCCGTAGTTCCATGGGTTGTGTTGGGTCAGGTACACGTTCCCACGATGATTCCATTCCTTCTCGTCTCGTCGCGTCGCGTCGTCATCCGCCCTATGATTCGGAGTTAGGAACCGAATATTAATGCGGACTGCAGGATCGGGATTACCCCATGCACACAGCACATACATACATACGCCAGCCGTCAAATATACGAGGACGATTCTTCTGAGTAAGGTTTCCATCTTTGTTTGCCGTCTGCTGTATCGGGGCGGGGCGGGGCTGGTCTGGTCTGGCCCTAATTTGGAGGTGCGATTTTCGAATTTAATTTTGTTTCCTTGATCGAGTAACCAACCTAATTAGGGATCAATATCTTGAATTACCACTGCAACTGCAAGTATTGGGGCTTCTAATCGACGTTTGATTCTGATTTAGTTAGTGCGAATTAATGGAGACTGAGTATCGTCCTCCTCCGTTGTTGAACATTGGGAAATGCTGCCGCTGCAAAAACTGCCTCTCCTCCACGATGAAGAAATCATTTTCGGCAATGTGCCTTAGCAGCTCGGCCGTCCGTGTCGCAGTAGTCGAGGAAGAGAAGCAGTGCAGCATCCCTGCAGCAGCAACAGGGTTAGCTGCGCAACAAAAGGCTCATATCGACATATTAAACGAATGTGCAGAACTGCGCGAAACCATCAGCAGGCAGCAGCATATCATTGAGAATCTGATTTCTGAGTTGGAGAAGGAGAGGAACGCCGCGTCTTCAGCTGCCAACGAAGCAATGTCTATGATTCTGCGACTGCAGAGGGATAAGGCAGAGATTCAAATGGAGGCTCGGCAGTTCAGGACGTATACAGAAGAGAAGTTGGCGCATGATCAGCAAGAGATTATTGAATTGCTGGATTTGTTGAATCAGAAGGAGGAAGAGATTGAACTACTTTCCAGTACTACTGGTGGAGGAGGAGGAGGAGGACGGCCATATTATAATAATAATAATGCTAATAAACACAGGATGATCATCAGCCATGGGATTATGGAGGATGAGGAAGAAGATGGGCAATTTCGTGAGATTTTCCCTTCTAAAGAATATGATGATCAGGAAGGTTATAATAATTGTTATTATTCTCCTGAAAATCATCATATCGACAAATATGATTATAATTATTCACGGCAGTCATCTGGGAATGAATTAATCAGTGATTTGGAGTTTCGGATTAGTCTGCTGGAGAAGAGCCCACCCTGCAGCAGGAGCAGGAGCAGGATTATCCAGCCAAATTCACCAGCTCGACGGTCAACGGGTAAAGAAATGTGGCCAGATTTTACCATGGACTCTCCAAAACTCAGTTTGAGGAAGATGAGAAGGGGGAAGGTGGATGATGCTACTACTATTACTACTGCTATATCAACAGATGAAGCTGATGACTTGATGATAGATCGGGTGTGCACGGTTGATTCTGCTGTTTATACAGTTAATGGTCTCATGGATCCAACAGCAGCAGCAGCAGCAGCTGTTATGGGCAATGATGATTATTGTATAGGAGCTGGAGCTGGAGCTGCAGCAACAGCTCCTAGAGATATTGAGATCCAGAAGCTGTATGCGAGGGTTCATGCTCTGGAGGCCGATAGAGAAATAATGAGGCAATCCATTGCTTCTATGGGGAGCAATAAAGCTCAAATGGTGTTGTTGAAGGAGATAGCTCAGAACTGGTGCAGAGAAATGTCTCCGGCACCGCCAAGACAGCAGCAGATGACCAATGTGCATGTGCCCAAGCAGCCATACCCACTCCACCCCAACAATAAGTTCTCCTTCATATCATCAATCTTAGCGGTAAATTCAATTCTATTTTTCTGTTGCACCTCTGTTTTTTCTAAACTAAATTATTTTCGTTTATCACCATCATCATGTCAGGCAGCATTGCTAAATTATTAGTTGGAAGATGATGATTTAGGTTAACTGATATATAGCTATTTGGGCAAGCCGCCCTCCCTCTTGCACTGGATATATATATATATATATATTTGTGTGACGAAACCAATAATCTTTTGAAATTACTGAGCGAAAGAAATTAGTTTCATCGAATTAAACCTAGTCCAGTCCTAGTGATGAAGATAGATTCCATACCATATGATATTGATATGATCATGTTTGTAAATTCTCCTACATATTCATGCTATGCTATGTGTATATATCTATATATATACACATAGTTGTTATTGTTTAATTACATACATACATAGCAATTGTGTGATTCTTCATTATATTCCTGCATGCAGTGGATCGTTTCCATCGTTTTTTTCTGGAAAAGGAAACCGGGCAGATGCAAGTAAGTGTCCATTCCGATATGGTATCAAATATTTGTGATTGAAATTGAAATGGAGTGGTAATAATAGTAACATAGTTATATTGAGTTGTTTTAGGTACCAGCCATTTGGGACATGGGGAAGCAGCGTGGGGTTGCTACTGCTTCTGGAGCGGTGTCCTCCTGCCACGAGTAGGCCACAGACGACATGTATATTCAGGACAAACATGTGATGTGACAGAATCAATGTTTTTTGTTAACTGACTAGCTAGCTAGTTTTCAGATCGTTTCCCTCTTTTTTGTTTTTTCTTTATTCTTTTTTTTTTTCATTTTCATTTTCCTCAATCAAGAATCAATTCGTCTGTGTTTTTTTTTTTTTTTTTTTTTTTTCTAAGATTTGGGGTGGGTTGTTGACATTCTTGGGCAGTGATTAGCTAAGCTAGCATTTGTTTTGTGGTAAGAGTCTCATGTGAGAGTTGGCAGGCACTACACTTCATTACAGTGATCATTTCAATGATTGATAGAGTTGTTTTTTATTTTTTATTTTGGAATTCAGGATGCCGTCTGCTTTGTTTTACTTCCCAAGAGGTAGGAGAGGAGAGCAGTAAAGGAATACCTAATACAAGCAAGACGGACTAGGTGGCATCGAGGTTTTGAACCCGGTCATAAGCCCACCCTCATGCCACTATCCGCTTCACTTTCTTCGGGGACCTAATGGGTGAATTGATGAATCTGAGTAAGAGATTGAGGACGGTTATCAGAATTTTCACCAGAGGATTAGAGGTAGGTGTTGTCTCCAGTCCAGGTGCAGTGGGGGCGGCTGTTTTGGCGGCCGGTGAGGGCCGGTGTTAGCTTTTGGAGCTTCCAATGAAAATTCTCTAACATCACAGTCGTCATATAGCAAGTGGTTCTCAAGTCGAATCCAAAAGAGCTGTGTAATTTAATTCTTATATTGCCACAAATTCAAGTATTAGACAGGAGAAAAGATTAGTATATTTAACTAAGTCAATAAGCAATGGAAAATAAAACTTAATTTCAATTAAATTAAATTTCTAATCCAATAAGTGAATAAGAAATCATATTAAAAGATTCAATTGTCGATTTTAAATAATCTTGTTATTCAATTGATAAATTGATTATAAACATTAGATATGATCATAATGTACAATTTTTCCTTACCTATTTGGCAGCAATGGTACGGCCGATTGATCACATCCATAATAAAAAAAAGTAATTTAAGTACCATCATAAATTAATATCTCCAATAAAAAATACTACGAGAATAACCTAATTCAAATATTTAATCAAATTACAAAAATATTAAAAATTATTTGATTATGCAATTCTAGATTAAGCTTGTCAACCTATTATGATTTCATCAAACAAGTGCACAATTACAGATGCAAATGTTCGATTGATACACAATTGCTAAATAAATTTGAGATCCGACTACGATGAAAAATTTAATAAAACAATAGTAGTCATGAATAAAAAATATTGCACAAATATCAACTTAATAAGAAATATGCAATTCAAATTGAAACATAATCTCACAAATCTAAATACGAAATCTACATCAAACCTCGAACTAGAATAAAAAAAAGTTAGTTACTTATTCTTAGAAATAAATAAAAGAAATAATGATGACCCTTTGGTGGCTCTTCCTCTCAAATCACCTCTCTCACTACTTTAACTCAAGATGTGGATTCTAAGTGATAGACGCATTTTAGTAGAATATATTTGTATATATTGTTGGGTTTTAATATTTGTTTCGGCAATAAATTCTACTTAAAATTCTATTTTTGGTACAAAGTGTGGGATATCATAAAAGAGGGCAAAACAATCAAAGAAAGGAAAGATTGCAATCTAATCCTTGGGGCAAAAGTGAAATTATGACAAAATTGGAAAAAGTTGTTATGAGATATACATAAAGATTGCAAAATAAAAAGATACACCGTTTTTCAAGAGAATAAGAGAGAACAAGAAAATACACGGCAGAACAGTCCCGGAGAAAGATCGCAAGGTACATGAGCCAAGGAGGAGAACACAGTGCAGAATAGTCCCAAGGAGAAATCGCGCAAGGGCAAGAGGAGAAAGATTCTTTGAAAAAGATTTCGAGTTCTTCTCATCAATCCGATCTATCTAAGGCGATGTTTATCTTTGCTTTCTTTGTTCTTCCTCCTATAATTAGCGAGTAGTTTACTTTTCTAATTAGGAGTGAAAGAAACAACTTAGTATGGATTTGTGAGAATAGACTATGTTTTGATTTTATATTATTTCTTGGTTCGTAAGTATTTCTGTGATTTCTAATTTTCATGTTTAGTAATATTTGATTTGGTTGGATATTGTGACCAGGTATTTCAATTAGATTAAAAATTAATTGCTAAACTAAATTGAGCATCCGTAATTGTGTTTTAGTTTGGTTCAAGTAGCAACTAGGGGCGGGCACCAGTAGAAAATCATAGAATCAATTTTAAATAGTTCTGCATAGGTAATTGGTAAATTCAATGAGGCTCTTCTACTTCGCAAAGTGGTTATGCTAGTAAATTCTTTGTGGCGACACTAGGGTTCTAGTCTAATTAGGGAAGCAGTTGACGGGCTCATCTAGGCTGTCGATAAATTAAGGAAGAGTTGGTTATTAGGAGCGTGTCGTTAACTATAACTAATTTATTTAGAAGCCAATGAAATTAAATATTTATCGATGATCAAGTTCAAAATCCAAGTTGTCAATTTCATTCCTAGGATAGAAGTTCGTCTTTATTAAAGTTCAATCATTGAATTTTTTGTATATTTTTACTTTGCTAGTTTCATTTTCGTTTAGTTTAGTTTAATTTCACTTCCTTTAAGAATTACCCCCCTTTTATTATTGAACAATTGAAGATAAATACCTTTTGAGTTCCTTGAGGAGACAACACTACTTCAACTATATTTCTCTATTTTTATTGTGAAACTAGGCATATTTTATTTAATGGAAAATCAGTATTTGCTTTCCCAACCCGGCAAGATTCCCCACATGTGAAAAACGCTGCCAAATTTTGGCGCCGTTGCCGGAGAGCTCTAATTGGTTTATTTTTTATTGGTTGTTATATATATATATATAATATTATGATTTTCTCAGGTTTATGTCGCGATCTGAACGCACAAAAAACTTGACCTTCGATCCCAAGATTGAGAAGACTGTGCGTTGATTAAGAAAAGAGACTAGAGAGCGCCGCCAAAAAAGAAATTGGAAAAGAATCGTCAAGCGAGGATTCTGATTGTGAATTGGCCTACGAATCACCTAGCAATTTTAGTTTTGAGGAGATCGAACTAGAAAAAGAGATGGACCGAAGGACACTGAGGGATCTAGCAGCTCCTAATTTGACTCAACAGCCCCTCTGCATCACCTTCTAATTGTGGATGGTGACACTAATTTTGAATTAAAATTAGGACTGATCCATCTGTTACCTTCTTTCCATGCTTTGTTAGGTGAAGAACCACACAAGCACCTTCAGAAATTTGACGTTGTATGCATCAGTATGAAGCCGCACGGAGTAACAGAAGATCAAATTAAATTACGTGTCTTCCCATTTTCACTAAAAAGTGCTGCGAAACATTGGCTCTTCAATCTACCTATTGGAAGCATCAACACATGGATTTACATGAAGAGAAAGTTTCTTGAGAAGTACTTTCTTGCCTCACGAGCTGCGAACATAAGGAAAGAAATTTGTGGGATCAAACAACAAACATACGATTCTTTATTTTAGTATTGGGACAAATATAATGTTTTAGTTTTGCGATGTCCGCAACATCCAATCTCTAAGCAGTTACTAATTCAATATTTCTATGAAGGTTTGACTTCTATCAATAGGAGGATGCAACAAGTAAAGGAGCTTTGATAACAAAACCCCTAGAGATTTGTGGGATCTACTGAATGACATGGCTATGAACTCAGCAACTCGGCCTAAGAGATGTAGTGGCAGTGAAAGAGGCAAGTGAGGCAAGTACCCTACATCAACAATTAAGCGAGCTAACTTCAATTGTTTGACAAATGGCTATAGGGAATGCATACGTTAAGGCGTGTGGAGTATGCACTAGCACGGAAAGCCCTTCTGATACCTGTCCCACGATGACTCAAGGAGTAGATGCCAATGCTGCGGGATTCACCCCTAGAGCTTACAATCCCTTCTCAAAGACCTACAATCTAGGATGAAGGGATCACCCAATTTTGAAGCATGGAAATCAACAAGGACACGTCGGAGGCCCTTCACAAGGATTCCGTCCACTAAATCACCATCAACAACCTCCTCAAGAGGTTCCAGATAATTCTTTACAGGATATGATGAAAAATATGGCGTCTAACATGCTGTTATTTCAACAGGAGACTAGGAACAACATAAAGAGCTTGGAAGAGCAAGTAAGTCAAATAGCGAATGAGATGCGTGAGATGAAGTCAAGGGAGAAAGGTAAATTGCCTACACAACCTGATACTAATCCAAAGAACGTGATCTCGATGGTCTTACAAAGTGGAAAGGAATTAGAAGGACCTAAAGTTGAAATTTCAAAGGACAATGATGAAGATGAGATCAAAAGAGAGATAGAGGAAGTTTCTCATGAAAAACCAAACAAGGTAACTTCTGAAACGCCTATTTATCCTAAAACTAACACCGCACTATTTCTTTGCAGGTTAGAGAACCGAAAAAGAGCGATAAAAATAAGGAGATGATGGAGATGTTTAGAAAAATGGAGTTGAGCATACCTTTGTTGAATGCTATCAAACAAGTGCCGAAGTATGCCAAATTCTTGAAGGAACTTTGCACGAACAAAATGAGATTGCAAGGAGACAAGTGCATTATTGTTGGCGAGAGCGTATCCGCTGTTATACAACGTAAACTCCCTTCTAAATGTAGTTATCCAGGTATGTTCTCGGTTCTCTGTAAGATAGGTAAGTTGGAGATTAAGCGAGCAATGCTAGATTTGGGAGCCGCAATTAATGTGATGCCTAAATCTATTTATAAATCTTTAAATGTTGGGCCATTATAAAAAACTAGGATTATTATACAACTAGCCGATAGGACTAATGCTTTCCCTGAAGGAATGATTGAAGATGTCATAGTGCAGGTTAATGAATTAATTTTTTCAGTGGATTGATATGTGTTTGACATGCATGATGATAACTTTCCAAATCCTTTACCGATATTGCTTGATAGACCATTATGTGCACTGCGCAAGCTAAAATAGATGTTAGGCAGGGTATACTTTCTATGGAGTTTGATGGTGAGAAAGTACAATTTAATATTTCCGATGCTGTAAAATACCTTGGGGAATCTAACGTTTCGCATAGAGTGGATGTCATTGATGAGAATGTGCAGGAAATTTTTGATTTGAGTGGAAGAGACTCTTTGGAGATTGTTTTGGCATACCATTTTGATATGCAACTCAGTGCAAAAAAATTAGTGAATTTACGGCTAAGAGAAGTAGTGCACGCACTGCAATCTTCAAAATTCAAGACGACCAGGTTAGAACAAACAACGTTGCCTTTAACTGAATCTAAACAAAAATTGTTGCCCTCTGTATAGCAGGCTCCAAATCTAGAGATGATGCCACTCCCTGATAAGCTGAATTATGCTTTCTTAGAAAAGAAGGAAACCTTGTTTGTTATCATATCAGCTTCCCTTTCTCAAATCCAGGAGGAGCAATTGATTCGAGTGTTGAGAGAGCACAAAGAAGCTATTAGTTGGACCATAGCTGACATAAAAGGCATAAGCCTCTTCATTTGCACACATCGCATTGTGTTGGTGACATGGTATCGGATGACCCGAACCCGAATATCGGTGGACCAATCGCAACCCGTACTCGATCAAAGACATTACTTTGTTTAGAGGTTGTGAGCCGTTGATTTTTAGATTAGATGTATGGCCCAGATTAGATTAGGCCTTCTTAGCATATATTCCTTATATTATACTTGTAAAACATTCATTCCATATATTTTTCAGAGAAAGTAACTACCACTTTGAAGAAGTTTTCTTCTTTTCGGAGAGATTCCAACCATCCATTAGAGTGATTCCAATTAACCGAGAGGGTTAATTTTGAGCCTTCGGAATGCAGCTTACGTGAGAGATGGAATAAGCATTCACAAGCATCAAACAGTTCGTGTGGATTTATGAAGGTGTTTGCTCGAGAAGAGTATTCGTCGATTGATTCCAAATTATCCACCGGTTCGTTTATTCGATTTCGTAGTTGATTCTTCTCTTGATTTGAGATTAGATGTCATGGATTTGATCCTATCCATGTCAGTTGGAGGAGAATGCAAAAACAGTAAGGCAACCTCAAAGGCGAATGAATACTCTGATGATATAAGTGGTGAAGAAAGAGATTCTGAAATTATTGGATGTTGAGATTATTATGCTATCGCAGATAGCCCATGGGTAATTCTGATTCATATGGTTCTAAGAAAGCAAGAGTTATGGTTGAGGCTGACAATGATGGTAAGTTAATTCCTGTTCGAAAGCAAACTGGATGGCGTTACTCTATTGACTACCATAGGTTGAATTCCATCACGAAAAGGATCACTTTCCTTTACCTTTTGTTGATTATTATGCTATCGCAGATAGCCCATGGGTAATTCTGATTCATATGGTTCTAAGAAAGCAAGAGTTATGGTTGAGGTTGACAATGATGGTAAGTTAATTCCTGTTCGAAAGCAAACTGGATGGCGTTAGTCTATTGACTACCATAGGTTGAATTCCATCACGAAAAAGAACCACTTTCCTTTACCTTTTATTGATCAAATGATTGAGCGATTAACAAGAAAATCTCATTATTGTTTACATGCCCCTATGACACTTTCGCATATAGGCGGATGCCATTTGAACTATGTAACGCTCCAACTACTTTTTAATGGTGCATGGTAAGTATTTTTTAAGAATATGTTGGTTAAATCATTAAGGTATTTGTGGATGATTTTAGTATGTAATGGTAATAATTTTGATGCATGTTTAGATAATCTGGCCTTAATCTTACAAAGATGCATTGAAACGAGATTGGTTCTTAATTGGGAAAAGTGTCAGTTCATGGTTGAAGATTGGATTGTTCCAAGTCACTTGGTTTCTTCAAGAGGAGTAGAGGTTGACAAGGCTAAGATAGACACTATTACTACCTTACCTTACCTCACTTTGGTGAGGGGATTGCGATCTTTTCTTAGTCATGCAGATTTTTATCGACAATTCATCAAGGATTTCTCCAAGATAGCGAGCCCATTTTTCTTGCTTTTACAAAATGATGTCTTATTTGAGTTTGATGAGAGCTGCAAGCAAGTTTTTGATCAAATCAAGAAGCTCCTTACCACACCACATATCATTCAACCTCTGACTTGGACACTTCCATTCGAGTTGATGTGCGACGCTAGTGACACAACCGTAGGGGCAGTTCTTGGACAACGAGATGGCAAGATGCCTTATGCAATCTACTATGCGTCGAAGGAGCTTAATGGAGTCCATTTGAACTATTCGACGATAACTAAATATCTCCTTGCTGTGGTTTTTGCATTGGAAAAATTCAGATGTTATTTATTGGGCACTAAAGTAATTGTTTTCTCTGATAATTCAACACTAAAGTTTTTAATGGAGAAGAAATAGAGCAAACCAAGACTCATTCGATGGGTTATCATGTTACAAGAGTTTCACTTGGAAATATGCGATAAAAAAGGGCTCTAGAAAGTGCATAGCCGATCACCTAAGCCGATTGTCGAATATTCAAGGAGAATTGCGTTTGAAAGAGTACTTTCCCGATGAACAATTACTTGCAGCAATCTCTTCGAGTCCCTGGTATGCTGATTTGCTTAATTATTTGGTTACTAATCAATTTCATGCAGGATAGTTAAAGGCGAAAAGAGATAACTCAAAAGCGATGCTAAGTACTACTTTTGGAATGACTCTTACCTATGGAGAGATGTGCCAACCAAATCATACGAAGGTGTGTCAAAGAAGGTGAGTATAATTTTATTTTAAAGCATTGTCATTCCTTGGAATGTGGAGGTCATTTTGGGCCGCAACGAACTCCACGTAAGGTACTTGATAGTGGATTTTATTGGCCAAATTTGTTTAAGGATGCATATAACATCTGAAAATCTTGTGATAGATGTCAACGAGTAGGAAATATATCTTCTAAAAGTCAAATATCTCAAGCACCTATGTTGTTTTTTGAAATCTTTGATGTGTGGGGCACTGATTTCATGGGTCTGTTTCCACTTTCGTATGGATTTTTATATATTATATTAACGGTCGATTATGTCTCAAAATGGGTAGAAGCAAAGCTACCCGAATTAACGATTCTAAAGTGGTTGCAAAGTTTCTCAAATCATTCATCTTTACTCAATTTGGAATGCCAAAAGCCGTCGTCCGTGATTGAGGTGCGCACTTTTGCAACAAAACTATTTCCTCTTTATTTTGCAGATATGGGGTTTTGCATAAAGTGCAACGTCGTATCATCCTCAAACGAATGGCGAAGTTGAGATCTCGAATAGGAAAATCAAAGGAATTTTGGAAAAGATGGTGAAACCAGACTGAAAGGATTGGAGTTTGCGTTTAGAAGATGTTCTGTGGGCATATCGCATGGCATACAAGAAACCGATTGGTATGTCTCTATTTCGATTGGTGTTTGGTAAGCCATGCCACCTCCCGGTAATCGAGCGCGATTATATTGGGAAATTAAGATGTGCAACATGAATCTCAATAATACGGGAGCCTACAGAAAGTTGCAATTGCAAGAGTCGAAGGAAATTTGCAATAAGGCGTATGAGAATGTTGCGATATACAAAGCGAAAACTAAAGCTTTACACGATCAACACATCACGTGAAATTTTTTTTCGATTGGACAGAAAGTTCTACTATATCACTCGTGCCTGAAGCTCTTTCCAAGTAAGTTTTGTTCTCAATGGATGGGTTCGTTTCTTGTGACTAATATTTTTCCTTATGGCACGGTGAAGATACAAATTTTAACCATGGATAAAAAGTTCGTAGTGAATTGGCATCGGCTCAAACTTTATAATGACGAATTTTCAAAAGCGGAGGTGGAATGCGTCACCCTCCTCAACTTGGATAATTGAGTAGTTTCACTCAACCACGTAGCCTAAGATGTTAAAGAATTAAGCTTATTGGGAAACAACTCAAGTTTTCTAGTTTATTTATATTTTTCTTTAATTTTTGTTTTATCTTTAATTATAGCTTAAGTTTGATTTGAGTGTTTTTTTTTTTTTTTTTTTGTTTTGCAAGAAAATTCAAGGGTGATATAAAAAAAAAAAAAAAAAAAAAAAAGACCAAGTCATGACATATGACTAAAGCACACATATCACACCGTTTTTATCCCAAGAAGGAGTAGGATGCAAGATTTAGTCATGGCCATCGTTAACCTTACCATGTCACACTGCCTTTCCATGCCTCAAACTCAATTTCAATCTTAAATTCCAACTTTACCCATAGATAAATCCTTAATTAAAATATTTATATTCTATATATTACCTCATCTTTCCTTCCCTTTCCTTTCCTCTCTCCCAAGCCGCAACCTTCCCCGAACCACCGCCGCCCTCGAACCACCGGACATCACCCGCGCCACCGCCTCTTCTCTCTACTTCTTCTTCCTTCTTCTTTTCTTCCTCTCCTTCCTTTTTCTTTCCCGTTGCTGCCAGCGAATCGCTAAACCGTAGGGCCGGTTCAACCTTTGAACCGGTATGATCCTCACTGCCAACGCCGGTTCTCCACTTCACTGCCGCCCAGACAGACGCCGCCGTCAGCCCACGCAAACCGGCCATTCGTCGGACCGCCCAGAGTCATGGAAGATTAGATATTGAATTTGTTCGTTATACGTATATTGTGGCACTTTTTTCTTGGAGATACCTTGTTGCGTTTCACTGTTTTGTTTTGCAGCGATTATGGGTAAAGTTTGAGCTTCTTCTATAAGTGGCGTCAAGGTAACTCCATCAAAAGGTATAGCCAAAAAGATGCAAAGGCGATCCTGTTGGTGATAGTTTTTCCACGGGACATCGTGTGCAATGCAATGCTACTCAACTCGCATCCACTTCAGCTATTAGGGGTAAATTGGACTTCAATGATCCCCTAGATTGCCAGCGCTATACGCAATGTTTGGAACCAGGTTGGAAGATTACTACTGCTAAATTCTTTCGCACACCGACCTTGTGAGGCTATATACTCTTCTAGTGATTGGACTTCTTCGGTCGTTGGGGTTGTTGGTCTAAAAAAACCCACCCTTCTTGGACACTCTTTTCCCTTTTAGGGCACTAGGGCCTGCTCTTTCGGCTAATAATTCTCTTCTGGCTTGAAGGGGCAAACTCCCCAAGAGGTGCCACGTGTTCTGGTTGAGAAATGGGCCCTGGAAAGGCGAAGAGCCCAGTCTGTTCCTTCGATTCAATGGGTGTTAGACTATAAAAAGTTAGAAAACAATCCCCAACCGACCATCCGACAAGGGCCAAGATGTTGTCCATCACTCCTGGAAGCCTCAGATTGATTCAGCATATTGATTGAGGGGAATGTGGAAATTGGAACCGAGGTAGGCGAGCCAAATTTTGGTGTAGTATTTGAAGCCCATCCAAAGTTATTTGGATCAATTGGGCTCGGTGAATAAGACCAGGGAGACGTTCATAGCATCCTAAGTGGTGTGCTAAATATTGTGGCTAGTATAAAACGACATTAAACACATTTTTGCCATTCTTTTGTTTTTACTAACAAAGAGAGAGCCGGGTTTCAGAGTAGAATATCATAAAATGGATTAAGTAGGATGAGGTAAAGAAGAAGAGCGAGGGAAAGAAAATTCAAAATGAGGTGGAAAATAACCAATTAGATTTTGGTAAGGATAGTATTGAGAGTCGGACCTATAAAATTCCAAGATTACCCGAATAGCAACATAAAGGCCACGATAATTTTTTCGGTTAGGGCGAAGGCAGAGAAGAGACAGACCGAGCATACAACTGAAATAAAAAATAATGGGAGGAGGACTGAGGAAGATACGGGAAAATACAATCGGAACCAAAGTTCCAAAACCCAAAAAGTGCCCGATCAAACTGTGTCAAGCTTCTAGCAGTAATGAAGTCGGTTAATAGTTTTGGAAATACCTTAGAAAAGGTTGGCTAGGAATAAGGTATTGAGGGACATATATCAGCCCATGGCTAAGTGAATGGCAATATCAAGTGGGCATGAGTGACACCCTTAAGAGTAGAGGCAGACGACATACCTGTAGAGCCAGAAGAGAAGAAAGGCCACGTGCTCCACTTCGGGCACGTCTGATGTAATACTTTTATTTCGAAGTATATAAAATAATACTATTATATCAAATAAATATTTTGATAATATTAATGGAATCAAAAAATTAATATTTTAAAATAAATTTTATTCCTAATTTATATGTCAGTTATGATAGAATAAATCGTTAAAGGAATAAATATAAATTATAATACTAATAATAAGAATAATAATTATTGATGGCAATAATACTAATAATAATATAATATAATTATATATAGATAAACATAAGCAAACAAATGAAATAAAATAAACAAACTTTACCTTCAAGTAGAGGAAAGTAATTAGAAGCAGAAGGAAAAAAAAAAAAAAAACAAAGGAACAAAAGGAGAACAAGATTTAACCGTTCGATTTTAATTTGAACTTTGATATTGTATTTTTTGTTGTAAGTAGAATTTATTAATATGAATTTGGGTATTGGGATATTAAATTAGAATTCCTTCATAAATTCATAATTGACTATATAGCTATTTAATCGACAAATTTCTTTAGTTAATAGACTATTCATAGCCCTAGTATTATATTTTGAGAATCTTGTATCGATTTAAATGTAATTGAAAATGGCAGTGTATTGTACCTATTTGTTTGTTCATATTAATAAAGATTTTTATTTAATAACCGGGAGATATAAAGGTTATGATGCATAAGGATTTTATAACTAGGATATCATATTCTACTAAATGAAACCTCTCAAGCTAGTTAGAGAAATTATCTTTTGAATAAGCAGATAACTCCTATGAATAAACATATAGCTTATATGATTTGAGTAAATAATAAGACATGTGTATGTTGAAGGAACAGGTCCTAGTTACTCTTCGGGATAGAGTGGAAAAAGGGAGGGAATTCTCGAGCGCAGAAAACGATGGAGAGCAACAAATGCTGACGGTGCGACAGTTCCCGATTTGGATAAAATTTCAAAAGCAAAAAAGAGTTGATAAAGAGGTAAGTAGTAGGGAATTAAATTTAATTTTAAAAAATTAGGTATGCTTGTGTATGTGATTCTGATTATAAAGTTAATGTGATATTATGTGGATAATTTTGTCACTGCATGTATATATTTATATATGTGTGTACATATGCATGTGTGAGACTTACATTTTATGATATTTGATATATATATTTGATCGCGTTAGTGATTTTTTTTTTGATGACGTGGGAACCCGCAGCCGCTACCCGAAAGTGCGAACTGGGTAAACCCCCGGCCGAATCTAATACCCTGCAAACTAGGCCCGACGGGAAAGTCACACTAGGTGAACCATGTGTGGCAGGTGACCTGCGGCGTCGGGGGTTTGAACCCATGACCTCACGGTCACAAGTCCAATCCCTACACCACCAGGCCATCCCTTACGGGACACATTAGTGAATTTTTGAAAAGAAGGATAGACGAGCTGTCTTATCATTCATTTTCAATAAATTCACTTATTTGACATACTATACACATATTGCACGGTTTATCGGATATGTTTTATGGATCTATAATTTATTCAACCTCAATGTACCATAACACTTTGGCGATAGTGGACGATAGTAGTCAGACAACTAGATGGCTTAGTCGCAAGGTCATTCAAGGATTAGATCCATTGTAGTTGAGATTCATTTAGTCTAATAATTCATGTTAGTTTCCACTCATTGGGCTAGTCACTAGTGAGATCTACCAGTAGTTTAGGATCATATGCCATACTCAAAGCGTGATCCCATTAGGGCTCGCGATGAGGAGTGGAGTTTTCGGATTTTTCTTGGGTAATTTCAGGTTGCATGAATTCTATTACATTACATGGGATAGGGCTAGAGATGAGAGTCATATATTCGCTATCGCAGACTATGGGGTATCTTGTGGTTAATGACGACAACATCGACTATCTATGTATTGATTGCGGGGGCGTATGGTGGGTATATACGAGTGACCGGATGACTGTTATATTATGGATTATTAGGTCCTTTTTCTTATCCAAGGGTTTTCCGGCTATTTATTAATGATGGTCTAGTGAGCCTATTATCATGGGGCTGAGGTTATTGCGGTAAAAAACTTAGACAGAGACAGTGAGACTATTGTTATGGAGCTGAGGTTATTCTAGTTGCTCACTTAGATAGATACATTGAGCCTATTATTATGGAGCCGAGGTTATTCTGGCTGCTCACTTCGAAAAATATGTATATGTATGTGCATGCTTAATTGAGTTCGATACCATTGTTGTATTATTTCATTGTTATCATAGCGTGAGACTTATTTTGTAAATAACGAAGATTAGACTTTATTTAAAATAATGACATGACATATTTTATGTTAGTTCTTACAATTAATTTACTTCTAAACTTCTTTTTAAGAAAAATATTTTGTTCAGGTATGCATGACACCTCCGGGACAAGGGAGATCTTGGGATATAAAAAGAATGACTAAGTGAGTGAACTTGTTATTATGTATCATATGTAAATTTGTAACTAGAAAAATCTCATCCTTAGGAGCGTAATTTTGCAAATATTTATAAACTGATTTTTGTGAAATAATATGATGATTTTATAGCTAATTTTAGCCTTAACATTGTATTATGGGGCTCGAAGTAGGAGGTGACGACCTCATGATGCAATGTGGATGTAGCATTTTCAATATGAACCAACTGGAGTTGTTACAAGTTGGTATCAAAGCATAGGTTTGTTATATCTTAGCTCTTTGGATTAAAAGGTTTTGAAAATAATAGTGATAATGATAATATGGTTATTGAATTGGTTTGGTGAGATTTGATGTTTTTTAGGTGCATTCATGTCCATGTGTTTCATATTTTGATAGTATACTTGTTTTATTTAATCAGGGAAGTCGGGAGCAATATGCCGAATTCTCGAGGTGATAGTTTACATAGGACTATTCGAGGCCCAGAGCTAGATTCTCCGTCTGATAAGTCACATTATCGTATGCCAGAGCATTACCGATAGAGGCACCTATTCAGGATTTTGTAGCAATTTATGGTTGTGATGATGTCTCAACAGAGAAGTTCCATTGATGCTGTGATGCAACATAAATCACTAACATATTTTGGTTTAGTAGAGCCTAGAGTTCTTGAGTTTTTGATTGAGCAGATGAAAAAGGTTTTTGTGTTGTTCAGGTTCAACTAAATTGACGAATTGATATTAGGGCTTTTTTCTTAGAGGCCGATCAAATCGGTGGTGGTTAAGTGAGGAAGCTACCGGTGTACACCAAGTGGATATGACTTGGGATGATTTCAAATAAAAATTAAAGGCTAAATTTATACCATCGCATGTTCAAAAAGCAAAGAAGCAAGAACTACTAGATTTGAAGTAGGACTTGATGTTAGTTGAGGACTATTTTGTGAAGTTCAATGAGTTGGAGATGTATGTTCCTGAATACTTTTCTTGTGAGATAGACAAACTTGAAAATTTTGTAGATAGATTTCAGCAGAGGATTTAAGAAGCTTTAGTTGTGTTGGATACCAGTTCACGGTATGATGCTTATAAGCGTGTTGCTCGATTTTATCAAAAACAGAAAATTAGGCAGAAAGTTAGTGGGAAGTAGATGTATTATCAACACAAGTTTCAATATAAAGAAAAAGCTAAGGTAGAGGATGAACCATAATGTAAAAAGAAATTGTGGCAAATGTGGAGGTCTGTACCATCGTCTAAGGGGATTGTGATTAATGAACCGAGTCAAGAGAGGTCTCAACAATCAGGGGTTGTTTGTCGGTATTGTGGAACAATTCATTCAGGTACCCATTGTGATAAAATTACATTGACTATTTGAA